GGGTTGTCAAGGCTGAAAAGAGCAAGAAAAAGAAGGAAGAGGAGGAGGATGAAGAAGACGAAGATGACAAATAAGTTTGTTCTAGCGCATTTTTTCTTGTCTATAAAGCATGATGATGATGAAGTTTGTTCTAGCGCTATTTTTTTTTCTTGTCTATAAAGCATTTAACCCCCTGTACACAACTCACTCCTTTTAAAGAAAAAAATTGAAATGTAAGGCTGTGTAAGATTTGTTTTTAAACTGTACAGTGTCTTTTTGTGTATACTTAACGCACTGCCGAATGTGTCTTTAGATAGCCCTGTCCTGGTGGTACTTTCAACAGCCACTAACCTTGCCTGGTACAGTGTGGGGTTGTAAACCGGCATGGAAATTTAAAGCAGGGTCTTGGTGCACAGCACAGATTAGTTATATGTGGGGACGGTAGTTTTTCTCATCTTCAGTTGGCTCTGATGCAGCTTGTACGAGAATAATTGTTCTGTTCACTGAATACCACCCTGTAATTGCAAAAAAAAAAAAATTGCAGCCGTTTTGTTGACATTCTGAATGCTTCTAATACAATTTTTTATTTAAAAAAATAATAATGGATCAATCTGTGACCTCCTCAGGCACTTCGCTCTCCTCTGCGTCACTGAACACTCTTGAGGGCTCGACCACCACCACTTCTTCCGGGGCCCTGGAAGAAGAGCAATGCCAAGGCTTTTAATTAATTTAAATAATTTAAGTTTTGTGTACGAATGTTTTGTCTGCATTTTTATACATAAGTACTGCAATGTTAGTGAAGTCCAGAACTGGTGGTGTTCCCCTGGAACTCAAGGTACAGGCAGTTGTTAGCCCCCATGTGGGTACTAGGAACGGAACCCTGGTCCTCTGCGAGAGCAGCCAGTGTTCTTTACCACCAAGCCATCTCTCCAGCCCACGGCTTTTAAACTTGCAACAAGCAGCTTGTCTTTATCTCATTTCCGGTAGGGATTTAAATCACAGTCATTTACCTGACATTCTTATTGAAAATCTCCTCCTCTTCATAGGTCTCCTTGTCCTATAGGTTCTCAGCCATGTTTTTCTTACGTGTGTGATGCAGAGGCCTGTACAAATCCCTAAGCCACAGTGGCCACCTTAGCCAGAAAAATCCTTCCTAGAAAACAAGGGGGACATTAGTTCTGCTGACTCCTATCTTCTCCAGCCACAGCACCGAGTCTCAAGCTTACCTGACTCTCACTGTCCTTGTCGCATTTCTTACCCCTTGGAAGAAAGCAGGAGACAATTAGTGATTGGGTCATTTTTGTGTCCCTCTCAGGGGACATCTTGGCTTTCCTCATGACAAAACCCATGCTTTGACCCATAAATACAGTAAGAAAAATCACCCCAGTGCTGGGGCTTGAGAACAATTTCCTGCAGGCCTGGCTTCCAGGAAGTCCCCAAGCATGCCTTAAGGGCCCCAGAAATGCCTTGGGGAGATCTTTATGTGACTTGTCATGAAGCATATTCAAGGCTCCAATAGGACTGGGGCCCCACTCATCCCTTCAAACAAACTGCACTGGGCAGAAGCCTTTCACTATCCAGAGCCTTTTCCATCAGCGCCCTTCAGACCCTCTGGTGCAGACCTGCTGCTCCTGTTTGCCTAGCTGCTTTATTCTACAAGTGAGTCACACTGAGCAACACCAGTATCCAACCACACAGTTCCCTTGCTCACAGATTTTTCACTCTGCAGGATGCCTCTGATGGTTGAGCTGTGAGAACAATTTAAAGGACAACTAGCTGGGCATGATGAACTACACCTGTAATTCCAGCAGTTGGGAGGCAGAAATGGAAGGATTGCCATGAGTTTGTGGCCAGCCTTGGCTACATAGTGAGTTCCTGATGCCATCACCAGCAGGAATACGCACAATCCACCCCTTTTGCCCTTCACCCTCTTTCCTTGAAGGGCTGGTGATACCATAGCCCTTTTTGACAGTCCTATCTCTGTCTCTTTGGGGAGCCAGGAAAGCCACTGAGAGAGATAATATTCTTCCTCAGTTTCCTCCCTGTAAAACGAGGGGATTAAATTAGATGAGTTCCAAGTTCTCTTCTAGTTCCCAGATTCTCCTCAAAAGATTGTCAGTCTCATATTTACCCTGTGGCCTTTTCTTCATCTCTCCCTCTCTCTCTTCCTCTGTGGGAATAAATCTGTTTTGGAAGAAAACACAGGATTATCACAAAGGGCTGGAGATGTATCTCAGTGGTAGTAGGGTGCTTTCACAGGGCCTGGGTTCAATCCCAAGCACTGAAAAATAGAAGATTCAGTGAATGTATGGCATGTTATAAACATATCAGTTGTCAAATAAAAATAGGGCTACAAATCCCGTGTTGTCTTATTCAGAGCTAAAAAATTTCCCATTTCCATGTATTATGTGTTTTCATGCATTATGTGTTTGTGTGTGTTATGTGTGTGTTATGTGCATAAGGGCACACATGCACACGTGCACATGGCTCATGGAGGCCTGACGTTGATGTTGGAGATCATTCTAGATAGCTCTTCCACTTTATTCTTTGAGGCAGGTCAAACAAACAGAGTTTACCAATATGGCTAGTCTCACTAGCTGGCTTGTCCTGGGGGGGTTCACCTCTCTGCCTTCAAAAGCTGGAATGACAGGTAGCCGCCATGCTTGGCCAAGAATTTACTTAGGTACTGGGGATCTGAACTCTGAACTCCAGTCCTCGTGTTTGTGAGGCAGATGCATTAATTACTGGGCCTCCTCTCTAGCTGTGACATTTTGTTTTTACAAAATAAGACAGCTGACATTTGGTAGAGAAGAATTTAAGAACAGTTATGCAATATATGAAAAAGATCAGAATCTTGTCTGACTGAATATACTCGAGTTATTCAGCAGCTAGGATTTCAGTTAATATACAAAGCAACTGGGATGAAGTAGTGTGACCCCAGTACTGCTGCAGGAAGGACGGCAGGATGGATGGAAGAGTCCACATAGAGATGGTATCTTAGACCAGCAAACAAAGAACAAATCAATAAAAATCATTTGAAATCTGGATACTCACATAAGAGGGACATAGTCCCTACCCCCACCATATCAAAAAACTAAAAATTGAAACTCTAGGAGGATTATATTTTTATATTATTTATATTTTTAAACAACTACCGGGCTACTAAGTATGGTGACACATGCCTGTGACTCTGAAGTAGAGGAAGGAGGATTAAGAGTTCAAGGGCAGCCTGGGAAAATAGTGAATCCCAAGTCATCCTGGCTATAGGAGATGCTGTCTCAAACTCCTCCCTCCCACAAAAAAAATCAAGAAAAACATACATATATAAAACATATATATGTATATGTTGTATATGTATACATACATATATTTTTATATAAAAACATATATATATATATATATATAAAACAAGGCAGCATTAGGAAAGTACTAGAGAGAATCAGCAGAAACTGCCTTGATTCCCTGAGGTAGCAAAGCTTCTGTAACAAGAGCATAACTCATAAGGAAGGAGGCTCAGGCTGGTAGATGAGTGGCTTTGACTAGAAATACTCCTTTTCCACTGGATTGCCTTTTAAATGAAATACATTGATGCTTTCAATAGTTTGCAATGATTTGATTGTACTTCCATGCTCCCAATACTCTGTCTCTAAGGAGGTAAAACTGAATAGTGGTAATTAAGTAATTCATGTAGGCTTTACAGTCAGGGAAACTGAGTTTGGGTCTTGGTTTGGCCACTGGGGCCTTAAGTTGATCTCTTTCATCTGTAGAATAGGCTTGCTAAGGTCTTCCTAGGAGTTTTGTGATTAGATCAGACAATGTATGTAAACTCTGTCCTGTGCTTAGCAGGTGTAAGTGCTAAGTTTCCTAATGGTGTCAAAGACAAGGTGCTAAGATCTACAAAATACTCTGCCTTGGAGTCAGGCTTAGAAAGCTTTTTTTACTCACAAGTTGATATTTATTTATTTTTATTTTTTGGTATTTTTGAGACAGGGTCTCCCTGTAGCCCCAGCTGGCCTGGAACTTTCTATATAGACCAGGCTGGCCTTAGTCTTGAGATGCGCCTGCCTATGCCTCTGGAGTGCTGGGATTAAAAGTGTGTGCCACCACGCCCAGCTCACAAGTTGATTTTTAGAAATTGCTTCCATTTTTTCCTGATTCTCGTAGCTTATTTTCTATGCATTTACTGAAATGCTTAAGGTGAGAAATAGTAATGTTCTATTTCCATTTATTCATTTTTCCCACTGACTAGAATACTAAAGAGTGAATTTCAAAAGTCTTCATGTCTGGGAAGGTAGAGTGCTTAGCATGCACAGGCACCAAGGTGAATCACCAGCACTCCTGCCCATACACAACAAATGGTAAGAATGCCTGGTATGTCCATTGTTCTTATCTACATGCTACTTAATTTTTAAATATCTTTTGATTTTTTTGACAAAGTTTAATGAAGTCCAAGGTAGCCTCAGTTCACCATGTAGCTGATCTTCCTGCCGCTGCTTCTCAAATGCTGGGAGGCCCAGCTCTGTATGTTACTTTAAATAAGTATTTGCTAGAGGCAAAACATGCATGCTTCCTCTCTTCACAGAGTCTATCATCTAAATGGGCAGAAGAAACCATGTAAATGTGAATATTTACAAAGGTGAACTGTATATGCAAGCGAAGAGCACTATAGGAGCAGATACAAATTTCAAGGAAGGCCACGGCCAGCCAGTCGATGTGGAGGGCTCTACCTGTGCAGTGGCCAGTGGTCATCCTCCCAGGGGATTTGCATTGAGTCCATGCTGGTCTCTGCTTTCTAGGCACAAAATTAGACCCTGTCCTCACTGAGAGAGAACTCACTCATTCCTTTCAGACTGTCTAACATTATTTACATCACAGGACAGACCTCCCATGCCACACAATGACCTGACATTGAGAAACCTTTTAGAGAGGGGGGGTAAGTGACTTTGGTTTTTCGTTTGCGTGTTCTAAAAATATTACACAGAGAGGATACATTCTGGACACCTGAATGCATTGTCCTTTCCTCAATGAGACAGAAAAATGATAATCAAAACCATCACTACTACAGTCACAGATATCGCTAAGATGACTTTGTTCTTAGAGCCGTATCCTGGAACCTCCTTTGTGAGCTAAAAAGTATAAAAAAGAAAAAAGGAAAAGGACATTTGTTGTTCTTAAATAGTAAAGACAAGAAAAGGATGAAAGAAGTTTAACTGTTCTAAACCCATTCTTGAGTTGAGCATGGGCTTATAGCTGATGTAGATAATCTAGCACTTGGGAAGTTAAGGCAGGATTACCAGGAGTTTGAGGCCAGCCTGGGCTACAAAGTGAGTTCTAAACCAGCCTGGGTTACATAGTGAGACTCTTAATAAAAACCAAGGTCTGGGGCTGTACCTCAGTGGTTGAGCCCTTGGTTTAGTATGGTGCTGGGTTTAATGCCCTGCACTGAAAAACAAAACAACAAGAAGGAAAAACCCTAAAAACATTCTTCTATGTGAATAGCTTGAGGATTCTTAAAGAACATACCAAATCTAATATGATACCTGCCTAATGCACTTTGTCCTATTCTGTGTTTTAGGTCTGCTTCAGTCTCTGATTTTAGAAGCACAACAGAGATCACTGTCTTGGCTATAGTTATGTGGCAACACAAGATCTGGACTGGGAGGGCCTAGTCTTCCTGCTTAAATGACGGGAATGTTGGGGCCTCACGGGTCCTGGACCTGTCCTCACCTGACCTGACTCCAGCCCCTTCTGTTCGCTCTGGGCTTCTGTGCTCTCACTGATGTAGTTCTCAGTTTTTCACTGGTCCCAGTCAGTCCTGGCTACCTTGATTTCCTGCTGCTCACTGAGAAGCTTCATTAGGAGGCCTGTTCTGGAGATGAGCTTGGCACAGGACAATTGCACGTGGGTCTCAGAGCTGTCCATCTTCAAAGTCTTGATAACATGAGAAATGAGCCTTCTCACGTTGTTGTTGGGGATGAGGGGCTTCAGCTGCTGGTTCAGCTGAGATTCAGAATGTTCACCTGGTGATAACAGCGCTGGGTAAGCAGCATGGATGGGTGGGGTGTGTGAGTCACTGCCTACGATATAGAATCCTGGCTGAGTCTCACCAGCTTTTTGAACAGTTGGAACAAAGCTGGATATAGGCCCAGCAGACTCTGCAGCAGGATTCTTGAGGGCTGCATTTTCTGATATAGTTTCTTCTGACTCAGGGATGTTTGATAGGACATTTTCTTGAATATCATTTTTTTCAGCTTGATCTTTGTCAGGCGTTTCTTCTGTAGAAGGTGCTGAGACAGCATATAATTCTGGAAAAGGGTTTTCTGCAGAACTCGGGTCTTCTAAAGATGAAAAGACACCTTGTGCAGGGGAATTGATGAGGCTCGTCACTGCAGAGGAAGCTGGCCTCTTTGCAATCAACTGGAAAGGTGATTTTTTTCATCCTAAGGCTGTGATGTCTTTTTTCAGACTGTAAAGCTGGTTTAGAACCCTTCATGCCTTTCACATTAGCATTTGCACTTTCTAAAACAAAAATGGTATAAGCCAAGTCTGTTCTTTTGCTTATGAACTCATTGATTTTGAATGAGAAGACTTTCCCATCAGGTACTATTGTGGGGAAGAAGAGACTGCTACGCCCTGTTCCCTTGGAAGTGAGGGCTCTGGATAGAAGGAGTTTCCCACTAACCTCCTGGGCTTCTGCACCAGGTCAGGCTGCTGCAGCTCCATTGGGGGGGGGGGGGCTCCTGAGCTGCCTGTCTTTGGCAATGTTCTCTAGAGATGGCGGGGCACTCTGTTTGCTCCACAGGCTCTTTTTGCTTCCTTCCTTGAAGTGCCTTTTGTGTACACTTCCTGGTCCCCCGGGGACTCTGTTCATCCTGTGGAACCTTCTCTTTCCATTCTCAATCTCTGCAAGACTGTGTCCCTCTGCCTGGGCAGGTTCCCATCTTTTTTCAAATATGTGTCATTTAATTTGGGGCCCTAAATGGCTAGACGGCTGCATAAGCATGGTGGTTTTCTCCTTCTTTCTAACTTCATCAATTTCTGCATCTAACATATTTTCTAGAAAATAAAGCTTATTCAACTTATTTTCGTAATTCAAGTTATTGGAATTGGATTCATATTTAAGAGGAGCACTCTTTGTATCACTTTTCACCGTTCCCAGAGAATTATCTGCATCTTGTACATTAGAAAAATGCAGTTTAATGAATGGTAACAGTGTTTATATTACATCTTCCAGATTTCCCCCTGAGAAATATGGCAATATGTAATTTCGTGCACTAAGGACATCGCTTTCATTGTTAAAGTCGAGCTGTTCATTCATGAAACCTGAATAAGTGCCATCATCCTTTTCTGAATATCCCCTTACCGGTTCAATAGTGAGCTCAGTGCTGGTGTTCCCCTTCCTGGCCTGCAACACCTTCATGAATGCTCCTTCTGGGTTCCCTATAGCTGCATCAGCTTCCAAAAAAGAAGAGATTGCTTTTGGTTAGAGAAGACTGACAGCCCATCTTCAGTCCACAGCCACACAACCCAGTCAAATAAATTAGGGTTCAGCAAATACTGGAGTGCCATTAATAAGGAGAAATGTTAACCTGAAATTAAACCTGAGAAATGGGAATAACAAAGAGAGAGAAGATTAATGGCAGCTCAGAACATTTCACAGTATGAACACAGGAAATCTACTTAGGATAGAGAACTGCCCAGGCCTCAGTAAAAGTTTAGGGCTAGAAGATATGGTGTCACAAAGGTGCCCAGGCTGGCTTTGAACTTGGCTCTTCTTGCCTCAGACTCCTTAGTAACTAGGATTGTGACCCCACCCAGTTTAGATAAGTACTTTTAAAATTATGTGAGTGGTCTGTACACGAAAGACTTGAGGTTGAGAGCAAGCACAGAGTTGGTCAGTCTAGGCATGAAGAGCCCTCTGTTCTATTAGGAGAGCCAGGCAGCACTCACTGGTTACAGACAGGAGCTCTCAGACTCTAAATAAAATGGCATCACTTACAGTCTTATAAAACTGCAAAAGCAAACCAAACAAAACCAATCTACACCTGCCCTACAAGACAGAGGGCACGTGAGACCTACTGAATATAAAACCAGCTTACAGAGTGTACTACACTGTATTGTAAATGATCGCTGGAAGGCAAGACACCAAGCAGAGAGCACAGCACACAGTGCGTGGCCATTAGTGTTATCATCCCCCTTCCATTCCTTTCTCTCGCTCTTATGCACATGGAACAGATACATTTAAAATTATGCAGTAATGGCTGAGAGCCCAACTTTCAGCAAGGGAGAAGTGCAGAAATTTAAATAGCTTTTCTATGGATGAATGAATGAAAACAAGCAATTATAGCATTGGTTAAAATTTTTATCTTTACCAAAAATTAGACATCAAAATTAAAACATTTATCAGGCAAGAGACTCATGACAATGTGTGGTTTGTCAGACATCCACTATAACAATGCAGTTTGATTGCCTTGCAAACAACCTCAATATCAGTTTTAAATTTGCAGAGGCAGCAAGCCATGTGGCTAGGTAAGACCCTATAAATGGAAAGACAGAATAGAGTTATTGGAAAAAGGGCTAATGAGGTGTAGAAGTGGCAGGCCAAGGCCACCACAGGGTTGTGCAGGATGGAATTTTGAGGCATATGGCATGGGCAGTTGGGTGGGAAATCAATGGCAAATTCCTGCTCTCCAACATTGAAAATAAGCAGGAAGGTTGGAGGTGCCCAACAGATGGTAACTGTGGTGGTGGGTGTGATATGCCTGAAACAAAGATGACAGGTAAGAACTGGCTGACACTGATCTGTAGGTTAATGTAGAAGCATCTCCTCTGATCTGACACCTAAAACAGCCTATTTCAACTCATGTTGTATGGTTAAATGGCAACAGGGATCACATTGATGAAATATGGATAGTTTGTGTGTTCCAAAGACGAATAAAGGCTGAGGGTGCACTTCAGTGGTAGAGTGCTTGTGTAGCAGTGTAAAGCACTGGGCTTCATTTCAGCATCTCTCTCTCTCTCTCTCTCTCTCTCTCTCTCTCTGTTACATACATACATATACACACACACACGCACACACACACAGGGGTGAGGGGATAAAGACCATAGTAAAGTACAAATTAATTATAAAGAGATTCCATGAATTAACAATGGTATTAAAAAAGAAAAGCATGGTAATTCTTCAATAGAACACCAGCTAATAAATGCGTCATTCTGAAACCACCAAGTAATAATTGCTTTAGACGAGGTTATCATTGATTCATGGTTGGGGGTAGCATTTCCGTTATAGTAGCAGTGAAGGCCTCTTAAGGGAAAACTGTTTTCTTCGGTCAAGAGAATGGAACCTCTGGCTTTGGTGGAGATCTAATATTCCAGTTGGGCAGGTCAATCACCTGACTAAGGTGCTATCCCTCAGAAAAGAAGGACCACTTACCCCGAAGGTTGATCAACCTTAGCCATAGTCTAAAGAGTGCCGGTTGGTTTTTTTGTCAACTTGACACAAACTAGAGTCTCTTGGGAGCAGGGAACTTCAGTCGAGGAAAGCCTCTATGGAATTGGCCCATGGCTATGTCTGTGAGGCATTTTCTTAATTGTTGATTGATGTTGGAGGGCCCAGCATACTGTCGGCCATGCCATCTCTGGGCAGGTGGGCCTGGGTTATATAACAAAGACAGCTGAACATGCCAGGGAAGAAAGCTAGTAAACAGCATTCTTCTGTGGTCTCAGCTTTAGTTCCTGCCTCCAGGTCCTGCTCTAAGTTCCTGCCTGACTTCCTTCAAAGATGGACGGTGACTTGTAAGTGTAAGATGAAATAAACTCTTTTCTCCTCAAGTTGTTTTTGGTCAGTATTTTATCACAGCAATAGAAAGTAACTAAAGCAGAAGGAATAATTTTCCCTTTAATGATATAATATACGTTTCCTTCCCAGAATTCCTGGCCTCTGTGTAGTTGTTGTGGAGTCCCCATGAGGCTCTATTAGGTCTCCCTGCTTTTCTGAGTTAGGACCCAGAAAGGCATAATTTTTTCCTTTTTCTTCATATTTGCTATTCCTTTGAATACTGGCCAGCGTCTAATATGATGTTATAGTACTTTGGGCCTTTTACTGTTTTCCTGTGAAGCCACCCCTCTTGCCAGGTGGCTGCTTACAAGTGGCATGGCTTTTCCTTTCCTCTTCTCCATTTCCCTCCTCCAGGCAGCTGTGGAGATTTACAGTTTGCCTGCCCTAGCATTTTTCTTTTAAACTCTAATAAAATTGTCTCCAACTTCTTCTGAAGGAATTCCTTCTGAATACCTAACATATTAATTATTGATCCTGCATCAAAACAAAGATTTAGAGTCTCTCCTTTCCCTCTCTGCCACCATCCCATACTCATGGGCCTAGCTGGAGTATCACAGCCCACTAAGCCAATGAGAACTCAGTGAGTTTCTCAGATCCTACTTCCCCAACCTCCTCCCCATCTCTCTCTGTCATTGTGCAGGCCTAGTTGGGATTATGCAGTCTGTGTAGCTGCTGCTGAGCCCAGCAAGTTCCCAAGATCCTAGCCTTCCCTCTCCCTGCCATCCCACACTTACAGGTAGGGGCCCCCCACCCCCAAGACCCAGGTCACCCATGATCTAGCTTAGCAGCCATTCATCTCTGCACTGCTACAGAACTCCATGGAGGCCAACTTTCAGAGTGGCTCCAAGGCTGAACACCAAACATTAACAGTTGGCCCATAACCTGACATGTTGGGGTAACATCAAACAAAGATTCAATCACTCAACAAAGGTAAGATCAGATATCCATACCAAGAAACACCACTATGCTCTAACTCCAGATGCCTAGGTTCCGTTGCAAACATGCAAACAACTTGAATAACCAATATGCCTTTTCTAGAAATTGACACTCCCATTGTAATGTTTTTAGAGAAAAGCAATTTAGCTGATGCACAAAGCAATAATTTCAAAATAGCAACTATAAATATGTTCAAGGAGTGACTGGAGAGATGGCTTAGTGGTTAAGAGCACTGACTGCTCTTCCAGAAGAAGAGTCCCAGGACCCGCATGACTGCTAACAACTGTCTGTAACTCCAGTTCCAGGGGAGTCAATGCCCTCTTTTGGCCTCCAGAGGCTTTGCATGACATGGATACACTTACATACATTCAGCAAAACATTTGTACATACAAAAAAATGTGTTCAAGGAACTCAAAGAGGATATAAATAAACTGAATGAAGACTTTGAAAATTCAGTTGAATAAAGTAAGCAAAACAATTCTAGATATGAAATTAGACTTTAATAAAGAACTGAAATAAAACTGGAAACCCCAGGAAATCAAACAAAAAGCTCAGAGGAAAGCCTCATCAATAGATTGGATCAAGTGGAAGAGAAATTATCAGATCTTGACAAGGCAAAGGAAATAAATTACTCAAAGAAAATGATTAATCTAAAATAACCCAGGAATAGAGCACATAATATAAGGAGACCACACTTACAAATCATAGGTATAGAAGGAGAAGAAACCCAGGTCAAAGGTACAGAAAATACTTCCAACAAAGTCATAGAAGAAAATTTTCCAATGGTAAGGAAAGAGTTACCTATCAAGGTGCAAGAAGCATACAGAACATCGAATATAGAGGACCAGAGAAGAAATTTCTCACATCATGTAATAGTTAAAATACTAAATGTACAGAACAAAGAAAATATAATGAAAACGATAGAAAAATCAAGTCACATACAAAGGCAGGCCCATCAGAACAAGGGCTTATTTTTCAGTGGAGATGATGAAAGCCAGAAGGGCTTGGACCACTGTCCTACAAGTCATGAACACAGAGGCCAGCCTAGACTACTATATCCAGCAAAACTATAATTTGTAATTGAAGAAGAAAAAAACTTTCCATGATAAGATCAGATTTAAAGAATTTATGTCCATTAAGCAAGATCAATAGAGGATACTAGAAGGAATACTTTAAGAACATATTTAAAGAATTTATGTCCATTAAGCAAGATCAATAAAGGATACTAGAAGGAATACTTTGGTCTGGAGAGAATATCAACATACCCAAAATGGCACAAAGAATAAATAAGCAATTACAGAACAATTAACCAAAAAAGTCTAAGAAAACACCACCACAACAAAATAAGAGAAATTAATAAACATTGGTTAATAGTAACTCTCAATGCTAATGGTCTCAATTCCCTAATAAAAAGACACAGACTAACAGATTAGATTAGAAAACAGGATCCATCTACACTACCAAAAATAGACACCACTTTAGGGTAAAAGTTGGAAAAAAGTTTTCCAAGCAAGCAGGTGTGGCTATTCTAATATCTGACAAAATAGACTTCAAACCAAAACTAGCCTGAAAAGATATGGAAGGACACTTCATATTCTTTAAAGGGAAAATCCACCAAGAAGAAATTACAATGCTAAACATTTACTCACCAAACACAGGGGAGCCCAACTTCATAAAAGAAACACTATTACACCTAAAACCACATACTGACCCCAACAAGTGATCCAATACCCCACTCTCAACAATAAATACCTCTTCCAGACAAAAACTAAACAAACTCTGAACTCTGGAATTAAAAGACATCATAAATCAAATGGATCTAACAACAAATACAGGAAAATGGAAATAATATCCTGCATTTTATCTGACCACATAGGAATGGAGCTAGATATCAACAGTAACAGAAAGACATAGGGTGGGTTAAATGAGAATGCTCCCCCCTCCCCGCATAGGCACAACATTTGGATATTTTGTCCCCAGTTGGTGGCACTATTTTGGGAGGTCTTAGAAGATGTGGCCATGCTGGAGGAAGCATGTCACTGGTGGTGGGATTTGAGAATTCTTCAGCCTTGCAAAATTTCCAGTCTCTTTCTGCTTCCTGTGCCTGCTTGAAGATGTGATCACTCAGCTTTCTGCTCTGATCACTTCCTTCCTCCAGGCCTCCCCCACCATTATGGACCTCCTACCCCTGGAGCCATAAGTTAAAATAAACTCTTCTATAAGTTGCCTTGGTCATGGTGTCTTATTATAGCAACAGAAAAGTAACTAATACAATACATAAACTCATGGAAACTAAACACACTAGTAAATAAAGACTGGGTCAAAGGAGAAATCAGAAAGGAAATTTAGGAGTTGGAGAAATGGCTCAGCGCTTAATAACACTGACTGTTCTTGCAGAGGACCCAGGTTCAAATCCCAGCACCCACATGGCAGATAACAACAGTCTATATCTCCAGTTCCAGGGGATCCAACAGCCTCTTCTGTCTTCTGTGGGGTGCACTTATGTACATGCAGGCAGTACACTCATACACATAAAATAAAAATAATAAAATATTTTTTTTAAAAAAGGAAATTTAGGCCAGGCGTAGTGGCGCATGCCTTTAATCCCAGCAATTGGGAGGCAGAGGCAGGTGGATCTCTGTGAGTTCAAGGCCAGCCTGGTCTACATAGTGAGTTCCAGGAAAGCTGGGGCTGCAGGGAGACCCTGTCTCAAAAAGACCAAAAAAAAAAAAAAAAGGAAATTTAAAAATTTCTAGAATTGAA